TATGGCACTCTATTCTAAACAATTAAATTGTAAGTTTTTCTAATTTATATGTTTGACAGTTGATGAACATGTGAGGTGTGAGAAATGGATGCGGGATGATAATGTAGATTCAAAAGAGTCCAAGACAGCCTCATGGTTCAAGAGATTTATAGGGCGTGAACAGAAACCTGAAGTAACATGGCCATTTCCTTTTGTGGAGGGCGGATTGTTTATCCTGACCTTGCATGCTGGTGTTGATGGATACCATATTACTGTTGGGGGGCGGCATGTGACCTCATTTCCATATCGTCCGGTATGTTGATATAGATGAGAAAAAAAGTGATTGTTATACCCTATGACAGTTTTTTCTTGATTCTCTAACTCAAATGGTGAACCTTGGCCTTCTGGATTTGGGACAGATATCTGCACATCTGATGCTCAATGGTCTTTCTAGTGGTTCCATCCACTCACTATGGAAAAACAGTACTTTGAAATTGTTTGTGTGATTTGCATTTTTTTCTATGAATATTTCCATGCACTAAGCTTATCACTGTTTGCCATCATTTTAAGTCTGTGATTCCTTTTCTTGACCCTTTGCTTTCTACTGGATTTCGTTGGTGGTCTATCTGTAGATTTTTGAGGTTCCTGTTCTTAACAGTCATGTTCGTTACAGTGGTATTATGTTTTGTTTAAGTACATATTCAAACAGAGTTCAATTCTTTTCTATTAAAATTAAACTCAAAATACTTTCCTAAAATTTTTTCTGTGCCTTTAGGGATTTACCCTTGAAGATGCAACAGGATTAGCAATCAAAGGAGACGTAGATGTTCATTCAGTTTTTGCAACTTCTCTTCCCAGCTCTCATCCAAGCTTCTCTCCTCAGCGAGTATTGGAAATGTCAGAGAAGTGGAAAGCTCATCCTTTACCAAAGAGTCCCATTCGACTTTTTATTGGGATCCTATCAGCTACAAATCACTTTGCGGAACGCATGGCAGTTAGAAAAACTTGGATGCAATCATCTGTAATCAAGTCTTCAAATGTAGTTGCTCGTTTCTTTGTTGCACTGGTAAGATCTTCACATTGATTTATTTATTTTGAAGGAGTGTTTAACTGTATCAACAGTCACTTAATTATTCCATGATTTCAGAAAGATTCCTCAACCATCAAATTTTCTAATTTATTATTTCAACTTCAAAAGTGGAGTGCGCGGTCTTTTTATCCAATTTCTGTTTCTGCTTGCTAACATTTTTTTTTTAAATATCATTCAAAAAGTAAATTAAAAAAAATACACATGCTAGTAGTTGTTTGGCTGCATCAGAAAAAAGTTATTGGAAAGTTGGGATTCAAGCACCGCATTAAAATCTCAAAGAAAATTGAAATTGCACTAATAGATTTTGAAATTGAGCAATAGTTGAGGGACCACTGACACATTTAGCAGCCTTACCCCCCCTTTTCCTCACTGATGATTAAAGCACTCAAAATAACTTTACAAGTCAAGAGAACTTGGATGCTAGGATCAATCTCTATTGTTACCCTTCAACCTCTGCAGATGGAGCCACAGGCTAGGGCAGTGTTGGTTAAAGTCTTAGGTTAAAATTTTGCCTTGCAAAGAAACTTTGTGTGGTGACACTCACATGAATACCCTTGATATACAGCATATGCATGTGAGGTTTGCTCAATTTATGCACCCTTTCTATTTTTTTTTTGGAGGAAATGCTTTGGAGTATTCTTATTCCTTCTTATCCCAAAATTATGATCCATTATTCCCTGATTTATGTCCATGGTCAAAAGTTAAGAGGGGTGGTTATTCTGCAAGTTGTCATTTTGCCTTTCTATCAAGTACATATTATGTGTTTAGGGCTCATTGTGCATAAGTGAGCCTGTATGTGCGTCTCAGTTGTTGTATTATTTTATCATCTTAATGTAATATGGTGCATTCTATAAGATGTTCTGTTGCTTTGGAACAGAGGAAGTGGCATTATGTTTTTTTACTATTCATTTTTCTTTTTTGCCATTCTTCTTAGCTACCATTTTTATAACATTCACACTCTAATTTATCTTTGTACTCATTTACGAAATCACAGAATCCAAGGAAGGAGGTGAATGCAGTGCTAAAAAGAGAGGCAGCCTACTTTGGTGATATTGTGATTTTGCCATTTATGGATCGCTATGAGCTTGTGGTTCTCAAAACTATTGCTATTTGTGAGTTTGGGGTAAGTCTATACTTTAATCATTGGTCATCTTTCATTGAATCTTTTAAATAGGATATCTGTGACTGTGTACTTAATGATATCTCCTGAATCTAGTTGTTTTGGTATCTCTGAATATGCTGAATACAGGTTCAGAATGTCTCAGCTGCATACATAATGAAATGTGATGATGATACATTTGTTAGGGTGGACACAGTCTTGAAAGAAATTGATCGTACCTCTCCCAACAAGTCTCTTTATATGGGCAATCTCAATCTCTTACATCGTCCTCTAAGAAATGGAAAATGGGCAGTTACTTTTGAGGTATGTAAGTTTTAATGCATTTGTGGGAATTCTGATTTAGTAAAATCCCTTGCAACACTGTCTTCGCTCTTATTAATTCAATTGTCTTGTTCCCTTTTCTCTTAAAATAGCATACAAAAAGGAAAAAAAATAAAATAAGAAAGGCTGGGTAAAAGGAATAATAGGGCAATTATTAGAATCTCTACAAAATATACATCTCAGCAATCTCTCCTGGAATCACATAAGTCACCTGGGGTTGGCCTGAACATCATGAAAAGAAGCTGAAAAAGTTTTAATTGTTTATCAAGCTGTAGCACCATTCTCTGTTGCACTAGAAGCAACGTTGGTGATACTGGTCATGGAACTTTTGCATTATCCGAATGAGGTGCCTCTTCCCACAGTACTTGCAAGAGTTGCGTAACTGTCTTCCTTTTTACCCCTTTCCCTTGTAATTTTTTTTACCGCATTTGATATTTCATGGAATGGAATGGATGTTGGTCAAGGAACTTGTTCAAGGCATAGAATGGCATAAGACAGCTTTGAGAAGGCTGTTTGTGCTTGTTGGCTCCCTATGATAAGGGTTTTCCCTTTGTTAGTTAAAGAATTAAAACATCATTCCTAACCTGCTATCAGAGTCATCATCCTTAAAGGTGCTGCTTTTTTGTGATTTTAGTTTTTAGGGACCGGGGGACCATTTTTTAGTTGAGCTCCTTTAATGAATCAGAAAGTCCTGAACATCTTACACATTCTAGTTCAAAATGGACAAGGAACTAATCTAGATATGGTTAGCTCTGTTGCTACACAAATGAATTCAAAATTTCAATTTCTCTCTCTTGATAAATAGAATCTGAATGATAAAATTGTTTTTCTATGTTCACTTCTTGGATTTGAAGGTTACTTGCCTAAATGTAACAGGAATGGCCTGAAGAAGTATATCCTCCTTACGCCAATGGACCTGGATATGTAATTTCTACTGATATTGCTAAATTTGTCATTGCTCAACATGGCAAACGAAGCCTCAGGGTTAGTGATATTTAATCTTATCTAATACCTCCCTCAGTTGAAGGATGCACTCTTTTCCCTCTCTGCCCCCCTTTCTGTTAGCATTTCTTTGACAACTACCTTTCCTATCAGCTTGTAGTTTGTACATGAAAATATTGTTAACCTCTCATTGCAGCTCTTTAAGATGGAAGATGTTAGCATGGGAATGTGGGTTGAACAATTTAACAGTTCCACCCCTGTTCAGTACTCCCACAATTGGAAATTCTGTCAATACGGATGCTTGGAGAACTATTATACTGCACATTACCAATCACCAAGGCAGATGATCTGTCTGTGGGACAAGTTGGCGAGAGGTCGGGCACAATGTTGCAGCTTTAGATGATAGATGTATTATCAGATGTCTCCAAGGATCCGTTAGATGATGGCAGCAGCTTTACTACCTTTTGTTCGTTTAAATGGGCTGTAGAGATGGCTGTTTTTTAATTTGCAGCCTTGATTTTGGAAGAACAGACTGTTTTCTTATTGTAATTGAAATGGCTTATAGCGAAGGCTAAAACATTTTGGCTTCAACTAAAAGCTGGAGAAATTGTATATACCCTATCTTTCTATGTCAAGTATCGATTCAGTTGATGCAGAAGTGAGAAAATCCGTTCAGCTTGTTACATTCGGATGTTGCAAATAGGTTCGCAAAGGTTCAAAGCGGATATCAGCAATGGAAAGTTCAACCCGGTATCATCAATATCCGATTGAAACTTCTACCCATTTTTTGAACCGAAATAATGGTAAATGGTAATTTCATTTTATTGAGACAAATGGGCCTATTACAATCCCAAAGGGCCCAATTTTATTCTTTCTAAGAAACAGCCCAAACATATTTGCTAGTCTACCTTTAATAAAGGGTTTAATGGCAACGTTTTGCCCTAAACCATTAGGATTGTGGCACTTTGAAGTTTGTATTTTTATTTGATCCATGTTTGTTCGTGTATAAATACCTGAAGAAGATTTTTGGTAAGGACAAGCACTGAAAGAAAAAAAAGATATATCGCCATAAAAAACGAACATTATCCTCTGTATTTATATTTCATTTCCCCAATCAATCTTGCTAACTTAAAAGCATTCTAGAATCTCCTACGCTACTAGCAGAACATTAAGAATCTCTAAGCCTAGTGCATGCTCACGAGGCCCGCTGAATCTACTATGAAGAAAGCAATCGAGGATTCCTCGAAGCTTATTTTTGGCTTCGTCAGTCCTTAATTTATTTATATGTTGTTAAATCTTAATTTATATCTTATATGTATCCCGTTTTGTCATTCCATTTGATTTTATCATTTTTATAGACCAAAAAAATCATTTTAAAAAAGACTCAGTTTTTAGTATATACTAATAAAAATTCAATCTAGTTTCATATATATTAGGTATGTTTTATAGAATTCGATAGACAAATTATCACATAAAATCATTCAAGAAATTGTACAAACTGAGAAATTAAGAGCAAGTAATATTAAGTAATTCGATAGCATTAGTTAATTACTTACACTGCTTATGGAGGCCAAGATGAGCCATAAGAACGGCCACCAAAGTGAGTAGCTCTCCTCCTCCTTGAAGTGCTCGAGCATGCTCTTTCCATCCACATTGAATCGCAGCATAAGTTAGCATCTCTACCAGAACTTCACTTATCATTTCCCATTGCTGTTCACTCTGCAGCAACTTCAATGAGTCGGCAAGCTTGACACCGTCAGATAGTGCTGACCCTTCCGAGTTTTGACCGATTTGCTTGCACTTTGGTTCGCCCAACTCTTTGGGTAGCATAAACGGCAAATCAATCCATAGATACATCATGTAACGAGATAAAGATCTGCTCATTTTACAATGAATTGAATCCTGGTCGCCGCAAGTATTAACAGCAATGTGCCATATGAGGAAGCTTTCATGAAAGTCTTTATTATGATCCACGGACCATCCAAATTTTTCATGGCAATCCTTACTTCTGAGGGCATGACAACCTTTCTCTTCCAATATCTTATATGGAGATAATGGGAAATTGCATCTTGAACGCATATCTAAGACACGTTTGAAGATCAATTCCTTTAAATCATCACCAACAATCTCCCAGCTCTGAATGTTGCCGGTTCTAAAGAGTTTTGGGAGGTGTTTACATGGGCTTTCTCTAGAATTTTTTGGCTCATATTGGGCTATAGATGCTTTCCACCTTTTGTTATTGCTAAAAAACGATAGCAACCGAGAAGAACAAATAACTCGACAAATAGAATCCGCCAGTGGCTGCCTTTGATCGCTAAGCCAAAGCATACCCCAATCTGAGAAAAGCATCAAAATAACCAAGTAGATCTCCAGAACAGTAGCTCCGACCAGCAACAAGTATGATACAATAATATCAATTTTGGAATAGGTATGCGAGTTTCTGGTCATTGATGAGAATGCTACTAATGCAGAGACAGAGGACAGAAAGGTGATGAAGCGGAGAATGATGCGTGGTCTCGGACAAATGGTTGTCATCACCTTGGTGAAAAGTACATCGAACATGAACCCCAACTCAACTTCTAACAATTTGAATGCTCCAGCAGCATCCTTGCTCTGCAAGATACCGTAGCTGATCCTATGAACAGGAAATGGAACGGTGTAATCAGCAAATAGTACCTTCAATGTTTGGAATAAGAAACAAGCTTCATGGAACTTTTTGGCCTCTGATAATATATTATTAACGCCCGAAATTTTATCAATGCCTTCTGTGCCCAAAATGTCATTAATGCGAGCCACGTTCTCTTCTCTGCTCAAAATTTTATCAACCTGATCCATGACCCCTTCTGTGCCCAACATTTCAACAATGCGCCTCGTGCCCAACATTTCAACAATGCCCTGTTCCGTGACAAAAATATCACTAGGGCCTCGTTGGGTGCTCCCTTCTATGCCCAACATTTGCTTAAGGTGATCTATGCCCAGTTCCGTGATCAAAATTTCATAAAGTTGAGGCAAAATATCATCCGACTTTTGGTGGCGCAAAATTTCCGGATATATTTGCCTTCGTACATGCATGCCTGCTTCGTTTGCTGAGTCCATCAACTTGCTGGAGCTTGCGAACCAGAGGACCCAAATCACTACATATATTAGCGGATCCTTGCTCCACCATGTTGGGAATTCCAACCGGTGATGTACTGATATTTGCTCATAGGAGGCCAAGCACACTGACACAATATTTAACGTGGTTCGGCAAAACCGCCTACATCCACGGGAGAAGCCATTGCATTATGTAGGGAGAGTACAAGATTTACAATAATAGAGGAGGAGGAATCATCCCCTCTTTGAGCAACTCTCAACCTCACTCTATTTCTCTCCTTTTGTGCTGCAATGGCAGCCCACTCTCTCCTACATTTCTCACCTCTTTGGCTCTACTTCCTCTCTCTCATTTTGCTCTCTCATATATGCCTCTATTTATAGGCATTCATGGAAGCTCTTCTTGGTTTGTTGTCAACATTGGTGGCTACCAACTCTAGCTCATTCAACAATGGTGGCCACCCACTCTATCTCATTCAACAATGGTGCCTACCAATAGTCAATGGTAAATGGTTGGTGCCTTACATGAAATGGCAACCAACCTAACAATCACCCCCTTTGCCATTCATGTGGGGCAACTGTCCTCTTGCTTCTTCAACACAAGCTTGCATCTTGCAGCTCTTCCAAGCTTTCCATTCTGGGAGCATCTTTGGCCAAGTTTATAGGTACTCGCCAAACTTTTCAATTATCAGAGTAACCAAAGCACACCTTTACACAAAATGATCACTGTAACCAGATGGTTTGCCACATCACATCTGAATAGTGTTAACGCTTGTCTCTGGAACAACATTCCCCTTCGAGCGTATCAACCATGCTCGGTCAGGAATGATTCATCAAGCCTCACATCAAGGCTTCTAACACCCCCTCAAATGGATATTTCAAGTGCGACAATCATCATCTGAGTATCTTAATATGATCACAAGCTCACCACTCTTCCAAGAGTTTACTCATCTAGGAGTTGCGTCTGCCCTCTGTTCCATCCTAGGGACCACGCCTTACTTCTCCATGAGTCTCCCACTCTTAGTCTCAAGAGTCTAGGTAGCTTTCCACCTTTAACCATGGGGGCAGCCCATAAAAGGTTGATCCATATCTGTCTTCATACTTTGAGTATTACAATGCCATTATCGAGCTCACCACCTTGACAAGAGTCAACTTGTTCCCGGAACCTGCGCATGTCCTCTGCTCCTTCATAGCAGTCGCGTCTTAATGCTCCACAAGTCATCCACTTATTGTCCAAGGCAAATGTCTTCTAGCTCATTGATCTTTAGCATGGGGGCAATATCCATGAAAGTCAATCCTGCATTTGTCTCCATACTCATCATAACCCTTTCATTTGCTATCCATCTGTCCACTCATACCTAGCCATCACATTGGCTCTGGGGCGTTCTGAACTGGGCTCCTTCCACAGCCCTCACACCTTCTCCTGAGGTGTCTCCGCTCATCGTCATGCGGCGGTCTGAACTTGGACTTATATAACGGTCCTCACACCTTCTCCTGAGGTGTCTCCGCCTGTTGTCATGAGATGGTCCAAACTTGGACTCATATCACGGTCCTCACACCTTCTCCTGAGGTGTCTCTACCTGTCTTCATGAGACGGTCTGAAATTGGACTTATATCATGGCCCATACACCTTCTGTCTGAGGTGTCTTTGTTCGTCATAAAGCAGTCACATCCTCCTTCATCGGGGATGTCTCTAGTGACTAAGATTCTCTATCACCATGTGGACTTGGGAGAGTTCATTGCCACTGATCACATAGAAAGAGAAAGTTGCGGTATACTCCTCGCAATCCTCCACCTCGATTTCTATGTTTGGAGCTTCTATGTCTTTCATCATTACACTTGACAGCTCCACCTACACCAACTCTCTTTGGTGTCTTCGCCTTTCATCATAGGCGGTCGCCTTTTATCACAGGCGTTTGCACCCCCTCAATTAGGTGCATCTGCAACAGCTCATCTTTCCATCCTTGCATGCATTGGAAAGGTCCTTGCTTGTTGCCTTTATCAAGAGCACAAGAGACTTCTTATTGTACAACTTTTTCATACAGTCTCTGCTCTGAGCTTCATCTGGGAACTCTTCTTTTCCTTGCACCTGTTGTCTCATTACAGTACCTCGTTGGATCCTCCAGGTACTCCTACACAATCTTCGTGTGCTCTCGTGCAATTTTGATTCTCCAGATTTCTCCCTATTCCTTGCTTATGTTTGACAGCAGCTCATCCTGTCACAACATCTATCCAAGTCAAAATAGGGTGCCAATCTTCATTTCTTTGATGTATTTCTCTACCATTATCAGGGTCTTCATTAATTCTCCCCTCGAGAAATTACAGTCACCGAATCTAACTTTCTTGGAGAAATCACCACTCCATCAGATCCTTGATCATACGGAACCCAACTGTTCCTTTGTGCCGTCATCCTGCTAGTCTTCAACAGTTTCATAACAAACTGTCACATATACGAAAATAGTACCGTATGGATAATCCTTCCACTAAGCAAGTTCCCAGGAAAGATTGGAGGGGTCACAATGGTCCCGCTTAAAACCCAATCTCCTAGCCAGAACTTCTTAGGCCATATCTATCCATCGTACTGTCTTTTCGTATATACAACCATTTGCTAGCTTTGTCGCGGCTTTCCTTTACAAGTGATCTGGGGTATCCTTGCTTTTTTACCTGATTTCTCAACATCTGGCGAGACTACCAGTGCTCAGATTCATCAAGATTGGTCTTCATCAAATTTCACTCTCCACCTCAAATTGTCCACATGATCGGGTGTTTAGAGTGTCCCAATTTTGCCTTCCCTCAAGGCAATTAAAATTCCCATATAATAGTTCAACACATGTAATTGGGCAAACATGTGTGATTTCTTCTTCTTCAGCTCCATCGACCACCATGATGACCATCAGATGCCTCCTAATCGGGCAATCTCTCTTTAATAATTCATCATTGCCATTTCTGATCTCAATCTCAACGATCGGACCGTACCATTGCATCCGGAACGATCAAATTAGCTGGAAACAAGTCTGAAATCGTCCAAATCGCACTTCAGACGGCTACGATTTGATCAAAACAATTTTGGCCTGATAAACGGCCCAGATTCAATCTCAGAACCGGTTGCACATAGACTCCGCCACACAGGATCAAAATCCAGGGAGCTGACGTGGCTGTAATGACGTGTCATCCACGTAGGACATATAGGTCAACCAAATCTGACGTGGCAGTTTGACTGGTCAGAGTGCTGATGTGTCAGGTGACGTGTCTGATGACTGTGCAGAACTGCTGACATGCCTAATGACGTGGCAGTTTGACTGGTCAGAGTGCTGATGTGTCAGGTGACGTGTCTGATGACTGTGCAGAACTGCTGACATGCCTAATGACGTGGCAGTTTGACTGGCGTGGCAGTTTGACTGGCCAGAGTGCTGATGTGTCAGGCGACGTGTCTGATGACTGTGCATAACTACTAACGTGGACAGTCACCCCGCTGGAGCGTGCGACAGTTTTCGGCGTCCGATTTTGACGCGGTTTTCACCAGTGGCTTCGTCTCTTTCTCCTCTACACAATGGTATGGTCAAAATATAATTTTGACAACTTTCATTTTTGAGCAAAATCAAACACCACTTTAAACCGAAGGCTCTGATACCAATTGTTGGGAATTCCGACCGGTGATGTACTGATATTTGCTCATAGGAGGCCAAGCACACTGACACAATATTTAACGTGGTTCGGCAAAACCGCCTACATCCACGGGAGAAGCCATTGCATTATATAGGGAGAGTACAAGATTTACAATAATAGAGGAGGAGGAATAATCCCCTCTTTGAGCAACTCTCAACCTCACTCTATTTCTCTCCTTTTGTGCTGCAATGGCAGCCCACTCTCTCCTACATTTCTCACCTCTTTGGCTTTACTTCCTCTCTCTCATTTTGCTCTCTCATATATGCCTCTATTTATAGGCATTCATGGAAACTCTTCTTGGTTTGTTGTCAACATTGGTGGCTACCAACTCTAGCTCATTCAACAATGGTGGCCACCAACTCTATCTCATTCAACAATGGTGGCTACCAATAGTCAATGGTAAATGGTTGGTGCCTTACATGAAATGGCAACCAACCTAACACACCATGACCTCAACGAAACATAAAAAGCCACCGCTAGTTGGGTTAATAGCTGAAGCAAGTGCCTCGACCACAATTCGTTGTCCTCTACTGAATAGGCAGTAATAGTGTCAGGACCACCAAGGTGCACAAGGAGCATCGGGGCCCAAAATGCCGGGATGAAACTTGCATTTGAAGTGGTACCTTTGGATTCTGAACCCCCTTGGCTACGAGCAAGAATACCCAATGTAATAGTCGCAAACCAATCTGCTGACAAATATGCTAGCCAAACAAACATCCCGAACCAGATTCCGGCTGTATACTTTCGTCGACTGCCAGTGACGGTGAGGAAAATTTGCAGCGAGAGACTCAGCAAGATCATTGCTCGAAGCTCCCATCCGTTCCACAATTCGATAACACGTCCATAAAAATTATACAGATTCATCTTTGCTTTCCTTCAACAAGCCAGATATGAACTGTACTTAAAGATACATTAATCAATTAAACAGAATATTAATCACATAATGCATGAACAGTACACCAAATTATGCATTTATAACATCTTTCTAAGCAATTCGCATGAATCATCTTTATAAGCTCGGTGATGCATACGAATAGTTTTATATTATAATCTATATTCTCTAACGCATGCAACGACAACACCTATTTCTATCATAAATTTTATTTCAACTATTTGTATCAAACTTCCAAATATATTGTAATTACTATCAAAAGCAAAAGAAAAAAAGCTTTCTAACTTAGGTAGAGAGACTTTTACAGCCAAACGTACCTGAAGATTTTGAAAAATGCAGTTCTGAATCTTCTGATGGACTAATTTAATTATTACTGGTTGTGCAGCCAACTTGAGTTTTGTGTATTTTTTAGTCCTGGTTCCACAAAACTGTGCTTAATCTACATTAATGATGCTGCTAGAATATGAATTGGTACATGTACTTTACTTCCTATCATCAATATCAAAAGCTGTTCTCAAGAGAGAATAAAACACTTGCTCTCACTACAAAATAAAAGTACCAATGGAATAAAGTGCTCTTGCTTGTCACAGCTAAAACTTTTCAGAAGTTAAGAGTACTCATGAGCACATATTACTACCCATGCTCTCAAGAAAAGAAATCATGTGAACTTTTACGTTGCGATTATTCTTTAACATTATATTAGAGTTTTAATATGACCAAACACAGTTACAAGGCAATAAGTTTTTGTATTATCATCTAAATCAAGATGTTTATGTAATTAAGTTACTTCAGGGAATCATTTTGTTGGTAAGTGTTATGCTTCCACATTATCATAAAGGATTTGAGTTCTACGAAAGCCGATAAAAAAATAATTTCATATGCTTAAAACTTGGTCATCTGGTGTGAGAAAATCTTCAAAAGAATGCCCTCTGGGATTTATGTACCGACAAAATTAACCTTTTTATATATAATAACATAACAATCACAACCATGTTTTTGTTTTTGTTTTTTTTCCTTTTTTTTTTTTGCAGCCTTGATTTTGGAAGAACGGACTGTTTTCTTACTGTAATTGAAATGGCTTATTGCTAAGGCCAAAACATTTTGGCTTCAACTAAAAGCTGGTGAAATTGTATATACCCCATCTTTCTATGACAATATCGATTCAGTTGATGCAGAAGTCAGATAATTCGTTCAACTCATTACATTCTGCAATTGCAAACAGGTTTGAAAATGTTCAAGCAGATATCAACGATAGAAAGTTAAACTGGGAATCACCAATGTCTGGTTGAAAGTACTCTTAGACACAATTTGTCATTATTTTTGTATTGATGGCAAAAATTATTACGGATACGACGGATTGAGGTCTCCAATTAATTTTTTGAATTTTATCTCTTAATTATCATGTTTTGAGCAAATATTGTTCCTTCATTTGATTTTCTCATTTTCATTAACGAAACACGCTACAAGAAATACAATTTTTTGTATTTTGATTTGAAAATGTTCACATATGCAAATAAAATTAAATGCAATCTAGTTTTTAAAACAATTTCTTTTTAGTTTAGGAAGCCTTTTTAAAAATTTTCTTAAATATTTTGATGCACATGCATGAAAGTACAAAGACATTAAAACAATCATGGAAGAAAAATATTTGACGAGAGAAAAGGGCTAGAAGCTAGAAGCTAGAAGCTAGAATCCTAAATTCATAATTTATTATTCTAAGAATAAATCCTAATAATGTATATCTTCTAAAAAGGCTTAAAATGCTTTTTATGAGCTAGAAAACCAACTAAATTAGGTAATAATATACAGAAAATAATATAAAATTCAAATTAACATAAGAAATGTGAGAAAATCAAGGAAAATTGGTAAAATAAGATCTTGTGAGCTTAATTTCAAAAAATCTATATAAAAAATGAATCGATGAAGACAATTTTCATGAATTGGGTTTTGGAAATCTCCTATAAAAAAATCCAAGTCTAATCCAACAATTATAATCCTTTAATCTTAGATGCTATATTAGTTTGACACGACTAACTTCATTCTTGGATCTAGTTATGTTTCACTAATCGATAAAAAATATTTATTAGACCATCTATATAATTTGTTTGGAGCAAATCTCTACTTAATTGTGATAAATTTCTATATAACTTCTTATAATCTTGAATCTTTGTAAGTATAACTGTTAGGATACTGACATACAAACTTGACAAGACAAAAAGCAAGGAATAGGATAAAATAAAAAATGAGACACACAAAAATTTACATGGTTCACCTAATTAGGCTACGTCCACAGGCAAGTATAGAATCATTTTAGTAAGTAATGTGAGAATTACAACCTCTCTCAAATAATAAGAGAACAATTAAGAATCTCTTTATTACTAGGAGAAAACACCTCACTTACTCTTTCACAAATACCTCATAATTTTATGGGACTACTCTCTCTTCACTCTCTCTTTTTCTCTCTATCTTGGTGTGCATAATAAGCTTGGAGACATTGCCTATTTATAAGCAAGAGTGAAGGGACAAATGCCACAAATCATGACACCAATTATGCCACGTAATAAGCTTGGAGGCATTGCCTATTTATAGGCAAGAGTGAAGGGACAAATGCCACAAATCATAGCACCAATTATGCCACAAATTATGCCAATAACTCATCTCCACTCATACTCTATCAATTATGCCAACAACTCCACTCAATTTTATCTTCCATCAATTAATTAAGTGGTGGCTTTACATTCTTCCACTTGAAGTCTTTGATAATTTAATCAAGTCTTTACACTTGATCATCTGTGATTCTTTTATCCTTTTTATACTTGCCATCTTCATGTTGCTTATGTTTCTGCTAGGCCATAAGAGGATCTACACCATATATACTTATTAGTGTTGACCAGTTTAGTCAAAGCATCTGCTAGGTTTTTCTTTGTGTGAACTTTCTGAAAATCCACACTTTTATCTTCTACCACTTCGTGAACAAAGTGATATTGAACATCTATATGTTTTGTTCTTGAATGAAATGCTGGATTCCTTGCAATATGCAAGACACTTTGACTATCATAATATAAAAGAATATTCTCTTGTTTGTGCCCAAGCTCCTCCATAAGTTTCTTCATCCATATTGCTTCTTTACAAGCTTGTGTAGCTGCCATATACTCAGCTTTTGTTGTCGATAACACTACAATAGTCTGAAGTTTAGAGACCTAGCTCACAACTTCTCTTGTAATTATGAACACATAGCCTATAATGGATTTTCTTTTCTTAAGGTCACTAGTAAAATCTGAATCAACATAATCTTTGACAGTAAATTCTGATCCTTCATAACATAATGCGGCATCTGAGGTACCTTTGATGTATCCCAAGATCCTCTTAATAGTATTCCAATGCTCTTTACCAAGATTTGTCATGTATCAACTAGTTGCTTCCACTACTTGTGCAATGTCTGGTCTTATATATATCATGGCAAACATTAAACTTTCCACTGCTGATGCACACGGTACTTGAGACATCTCTATCCTCTCTACTTCATTGCTAGGAGACATACTTGAGAATAATTTGAAGTTAATAGTAAATGGGGTGAAAATTGGCTTACAATCTTGCATGCTGAGACGTCGCAAGATCTTCTTGAAATAATTCTTCTAAGAAAGACAAATCTTCCTCTTACTTCTATCTTGGTGAATTTGTATCCTTAGAATCTTGTTTACTAGTCCCAATTCCTTCATATCAAACTCCCTAGCCAACTGTGCCTTTAATTCTTGGATTCAATCTTTATTGGGGCCTATCACCAACATGTCATCCACGTACAACAATAGAATGATGAAAACATCATCTTCCTCAAACCTCTTGTAATACGTATAATAGTCTAAACTGAGTCTGTTGTACCTAAGACTAATTATAAAGGAATCAAATTTCTTGTCCAAAACCTTAGTGCCTGTTTGAGACCGTATAGAGATTTGTTCAACATGCAAACCAAGTTCTCCTTGCTTATTTTAGCAAAACCCTCTAGTTGGAGCATATAAATTTCTTCTTCAAGTTTTCCATGAAAAAATGCAGTTTTCACATCTAACTACTTTAAGTGAAGATCAAATACAACACATATTGCCAAGACTACTCTGATTGTAGCAAGTCGTACCACTGGAGAAAATATCTCATTAAAGTCTATTCTTTTTTTCTGAGCATATCCTTTCACCACCAATCTTGCACGATACTGCTCCACTTGATCATTGCCATCACGCTTTATCTTGTAAACCTATTTGTTGCCAATAGCCTTTCTTCTTTGTGGTAGTGGAATAAGATCCCAAGTATTATTTTTATGTAAAGCTTCAATCTCCTCTTGCATTGTTGTCATCCACATAGATACATCTGTGCTTTTGATAGCCTCATGGAAAGTTGATGGCTCTCCATCCT